TTGTGCCTATTATCGCCGGTTTATCGCAGACTTCACCCGCATCGCGTCGCCACTAACTCGTCTCACAAGAAACGATGTTGCCTTTGAGTGGAAAGAAGAACAGGAAGCTGCCTTTACTGACCTGCGTCAACGTCTTCAAACGCCCCCGGTGCTTGCCCACTTCGACGAAGAAGCCCCGACGATGCTTCACACAGACGCCAGCAATGTAGGTCTTGGGGCTGTGCTTGTGCAATGGCAAGAGGACACAGAAAGAGTGATCGCCTACGCAAGCCGAACGCTAACACTCGCAGAGGTTAACTATTCAACAACAAAGAAAGAATGCCTCCCCGTAGTATGGGCAGTAATGAAATTTCGCCCGTACTTGTTAGGCCGGCACTTCAAAGTTATTAGTGACCATCACTCCTTTTGCTGGTTAACTAATCTAAAAGATCCCACCAGCCGATTAGCGTGTTGGAGCCTAAACCTGCAAGAGTTTGACATGACGGTCGTGCACAAGTCAGGCAAGCGACATATTGATGCTGACTGTCTGTCCCGTTCACCCATTGAGTCGGCAACCCTACCTGAGGAGGAGGAAACGGCGTTTCTCAGTGTCCTCGACACGACCGCCATTGCGCAGCAACAACGTGACAACACTGAGTTGCTTGGCTTAATTAACTACTTGGAAGGCAGATCTCAGAAGGCGCCAAGAATTTTTGCAAGAGTGTTGTCATCGTTTTGTTTACGGGATGGAGTACTCTACAAGAGAAACTTTTCGTCGACAGGATCCGCCTACCTGCTCGTCATACTAGTACTCAAAGCATGCCACAACGAGGTGACCTCTGGCCATTTGGGTTACATGAGAACGTTGGCCAGAGTACAGCAAAGGTATTACTGGCCGAGACTAACCACAGCTGTGAAGCACCACGTTCGTACCTGTCTCGACTGCCAGCGACGCAAGTCACCACCGACTAAACCAGCTGGCCTCCTGCAGCTCGTGCAGGTCCCAACAGCTCCATTCTACCAGATAGGGATGGACATTTTGGGCCCACTACCTACTTCTACTGCAGGGAACCGCTGGGTTATCGTCGCAACAGATTATCTTACCCGTTATGCCGAGACAAAAGGCTATCCAGAGAGGTACAGCAGCGGAGGTGGCAAGATTTTTCATCGAAAATATTGTACTGAGGCATGGTGCACCAACCGTCATGATCACAGAGAGAGGAACCGCATTGACGGCAGCTCTTTTGGATCACGTCCTGATGCTGAGTGGAACAATGCATCGTAAGACCACCGCCTACCACACACAAACAAATGGGCTGACGGAGTGTCTGAACAAAACCATTGAAGACATGCTTTCGATGTACGTAGACATTGAACACGAAAATTGGGATGAAATCTTGCCATACATAACGTTTGCGTACAACACGGCCAAGCAAGAAACAACCCGCATGACCCCGTTCAGCCTCGTTCATGGACGAGAAGTACGAACTATGTTAGATGCGATGCTGCCGCACGAAAGTGACGACATGTACCCAGACGCCAACACGTTTACGGAACGCGCGGAAGAAGCTAGACAACTGGCACGTTTACGGATCCGCTAGCAGCAAGAGTACGATGCAGGCCGCTACAATGCTCACCGCAGAGCAGCCGTCTATCAAACTGGCGACAAAGTATGGGTTTGGACACCCGTACGAAAACGAGGGCTATCAGAAAAGCTCTTAAGAAGATACTTTGGGCCATACCGAGTGCTGCGACAATTGAGTGACGTCACTTACGAAGTCGTTCCCGACAATTCGTGTAGTACCAAGTGTCGCCAGCACCATCCTGAACTCGTTCACGTAGTGCGCATGAAGCCTTACGTCAGCGAGTGATTGCGTGAGACTTTTCTTTAAAAAAAAAAACTGCATTATTGACTTCGCATCGGGTCGATGCTCTTCGAGAGGGAGGCAAATGACCTGTGTCTACATGTGGACAAAAACGATGATGGGGGAACTTAGAAGACACCAGATAGTGGGCCTCTGGCTTGACTGGAGAACGAAGAAGAAAATCTTACAGCCCAGTGTTGAGAACAAGCTGCTTTCGCTGCCTCGAGGCGTACGTGTGCTTTGTTCGTGTTGTACTGCGACAATATATTGCAGAAGAAAGCGTGCTCGCCATTGGCTGCTGCGCAGCAGTGAGGGCAGTCACTCCCTCCGATGGCGCGCACTCGCCCCTTTGTTGCTCTGCTACGTTCGCCTTGGCCAGAGTCTTCTGCGACGCTCTTTGCCTTTTTCACTATCTTTTTTGATAAGTTTTCTTTTGGCACTGGTTCTGTGTTCTTCATCTTAGTTGTTGCTCCCGATGTCGGTAAGCAAGCCAAAGATAGCGCGGAGGTCCTGTGTGCAGAGGCACGCTATGCGGTTTGTACAAGTGTCGAAATTCCGCTATTCTGCTGTGTGTGCCGACTGCGTACATGTTTGTAGCAATGGACTGTGCTGTTAGCAGTCACAAATCGAGAAACCGACACGAGTGTGACTTTTCAGCAATGCCTTTCGAGTCCGAACAAACTGCTGGCAACCGTATTGCTAGTACACTAACTTTACCCTTTCTGGGCACAAGTTCACCCAATTAAAAGTTTTGTCTTCATCAAACGAAGTGCTGCCTTTTTCGCCAACAATATAAAGAGCACCAACATGAAGAAAAAAAGAAGAATCATGATGTACTGGGCACTTCACAGCCCTTCTTGCAGTAGGCATTCTAGGGCAGACTGCTATGTGCCGAGACATTCCTTTCCATGTGGTATGGTAGGGGTGTGTGCCCACTATTGTGTTCTATTCTTGTTTGAGTTCTCTTTTTGTTCTTTATTTATCAGTGTTAGTGGTAGCGCAGTAGTAGCGTAACCCGAAGTAACATCCCCTTCTTTTTTTAGGGGCAAAGCTCCTTATTGTCGAGGTTTGTCCGTTGGCATTACAGTCAGCATTGTGGGCTGTAGTCGCAGCTGACGATGACGATGCTGCTGATGACGACGAAGAACGAGCGCACTTTAGACCACACATTCTCTTTCTGCCATAACGGCACAGCGCATGCAAGGTACCTACCCACTATATGTCATGAAGACAATGACGATGATGATCAAGAGGTGCAGTAGATGACATTTTGACATGCTCTACAATGCATTTCGTATGACTGGAAACAACCAACAACCACCAGAGGAATGCGCCCAGACCTTGTCTTTGCGAACTTCAGGTTAGATCCGATACCATAAAGCAGTAATGATAAAGGCAAAACAAAATTCACAACTCAATTCAGCATACCATTTATGACTAATAAACATTGTATAGTATAAATGTACACCACTTGGCACTCATTTACATGTGTGAGTGGTCAATGCCACGGGTCAATTATGATAAAACCAAACAATTCCACTGCTTCACCCACTCATCATCATTTCTGGTAACTGTACTTTTTGCCATTTACAAACTGTGAAGAATAACAGATATGAAGGTTCTTTGGTAATGTTGGGTGTGGCATTACCAGTTGCTTTTTATTTCTAATTATTCATAGAGTTTTACACAAGGCTTTTTGTCATATAGGCAGGAGTTTCAAAGAGCTCGCCTTGACATTTTTTCGTCGCAGCGGCAAACCGCTGCCAGGCAACCAGGCACTGACCTCCAAAGCGTCCCTATTAACATAGGCGTGGCTATTCCGTTATGAGGAGTATTCATTCAGTGGTCGCCAGTGAGTACCAATTGATATAGCACTGCCCAGAATGCACAGAATTGTAGGGCAGCTCCTGATTCGGCCTCATTGTCCAAACCCAGTCATGAAACGGAAAAAAAGTTATTTGGAGAGATTAACCCTATATGCTAGCTCGTGCCCGTGTGGTGCTCTGCTAAACAACACTGCAGACCAACACATTTCTGAAAAACACAGTGCAAAAACAATGCCCATCGGGTGTAGTATACTAAATCACAGGAAATAATTCTCCTATGTGCCCACAACAGTCCCAGCACAGGGATGCATGTCCCATATGGATTAGCTGCCTGTCAGAGTTAGAAAGCAAATGCTACGTAACATCTCACCACAAAAATTAGCTATACATATTAAACATATAAAACACATGATTTGCAACCACTTTATCACACCTAGTTTAGGTGCCCACATTTTTAGTACGTGGATACCTCCACAGCAGAGTACATTTTATGGGTTAGTCGGCATTCAAATGAGGAGTTCTAGTTCAAGCAAACCTCACAAAATGGAGGAAACAGAACGTGGTCTTCTATTGGCACATCTTTTTTTTTTTTTCTAGTGATGACATCGTTTTGCTTTCCTTAATTCCCCTGACATGTGTCAGCAGTGTCTTTTTGTGCTTTCTGGACAATGTGCAATGCCAAGGACAAGTGAAAGGGCATTTCACCATGGCTGAGTATGTTACAAGCTCTGCAGCTACACTGGCTATGCTGCAGGCCCAGTATCTTTCTTCCTCTCGGCAGTGCCTATACACATGGTAGCCACGAACCCAGTTTGATCCCTGAGATCTTGGTGCCCTACACCAAGAAGAGGCACATTCCAGTTTGAGTCATGTGGCACTCTTAATGAACACACGAAAGAAGAGGACTTTTTTTCAAGGGGCTTGCATTTTTGTTAGACACAACTAAATAAATCTAACAGGAAAGGAAAAGCAGATGGGATGTTAATATTTGGCAGTAGTGATTATGACTGATACTGAAAGGCACTTCAGCGGATGAAGAAACACCCGTTCCAGTGGTGGGATTTGAGCACCACAACCTTCGAATCGCACAACAGGTGGAGCATCGGTCACCTGATTCGAAGCTTGTAGATTCGGATCCCCAGAGAAAGGGCATTTTTTCTCCAACTTCAAGCCATTTCAATTAATGTCACTATTACTGCCCTACATTAAAGAGACAACAATTATTGTCCAGTATGATTCCCTTGGCTGAACAGCAGCAGTTCAGTTTCACCAAAAATGGCCATAGTGCGAGCTGGTGTTCACATTGCCTAATTGCACCAAAAAGAGGTACCTGTGGTGCTGTTGATGTGGAAGTGCAGCGCACAGTTGTGGCTGCGAATGGCATAGATCAGCTGGCCCAGCACCCCCTGGTCCGGGTCGGTGGCGAACACATGTGCCACTCGAGCACCGGGCGACAGGTTCTCGGCCACCACTGCTTCGTACACGGCCTGGCTGAACCGGGGCGAGTGCTCGTTGCTCGCCCTGACCACCACGCGCAACTGTGTGTAGCTCTGGTACACCCCATCGGTGACAGAAACATTCAGCTCAAAGCCAGTAAGAGGCCACGTAGAGGGTACGCTGCTGGACACTGTCACCACTCCTGCAATGTGGGGGCATCCATCAGCTAAAGTCCCTGCGCTCTGAAATACAGATAATGTAATGTCTCTAGAATATAGTGATGAGCTGCAGCGCACAAAGATCAGTATTTGTCTCTCCTCTCAATGCTTTTATCCACCTGTGTTTGTGTGCTGCCGTTCACCTGTGGCGATTCCTCAAAGGGCATCGCCCACTTTGTTTGCCAAGGTGAAAATTGTCGTAGTGCTGCCCTTGGTGATGTGAGATGGCTGCATTGATTAAAAACTTAGAATACGCAGTGCTCATAAACTTAGAAGGCACGGTACGTAAGCATAGTTGCCATGCAGTTATAAATATGTAAAGTTTGAGCATTAGTGTACAGCTGTATAATTTTCAGAGCTTTAGCAATCTCAAGTTTGGAAGCTAGAACCTAAAATAATGAGTGTGCAAAGAACAGATTAGTAAAAGCTTTTTAATTCAAACTCAATTCATTCGAACCTACAATAATAATAATAATACCTGGGATATTACTTGCCAAAACCACCATATAGTCATGAGAGGCGTCATAGAGGAGGGCTCCAGAAATTTTGACCATCTGGTGTATTTTAACGTGCACTGACATCACACAGTACACAGACCTCTACGATTTCGCCAACATTGAAATGCAATCACTGTGGCTGGGATCGAAACCACGACATTTGGGGTTAGCAGCCAAGCACTCTGGCCACTGTTCCACCACAACGGACAAACTTGAACTAGAACTGACACCTCAGTCCCACCAAAACGCTGTGTATTTCTATGCGGGGAAAACTCAAAATAATTCGAACGCATCAGTATCCACAACAAAACGTTCTTACAGTTCATCCCATTGTCGCATGGACTCTATGCCCTTGTCCTGTCGACGGCACGTCAAGTCTGTCGTTGACGCCCTCCTCAAGCTCCTACGGTCATCATTGATAGTTTCTGCCCAATGTGCCCTTTGTCTTCAATGCCCGTGTCTCGGTCTTATCCATCATCTTCAGCTTCGGTGGGCTAGGCTCAGCTTGTCATGGGCTCCCTTGATGATGTGTCCACTTTGCTGACAGGTATGGGCTTCTACCACCTTAGCGCGAAGTGGGATAGCTACAAGTCCACCAGGAACTGCTGGGCGGCAAGTCCAGGCAGCCTCACTCGGGAGGACCTCCGACGTCGTCGGCCACTTGCCGGGCTTCTCACACTGACATCCTTCAGAACCTGGCGGCTATGCTGCTCTCGTCACTGTAGCGACGCTGGTTTCCCACATCTTCGCAGCTCGGATCCCCGCAGCACGGCAAGGTTCTTTTTGGCATTGCATAAGTCTGTCGCTATATTTAGGGATTAGTGTTGCCAGACTACCGCGGAAAAATTATCCCCTGTAGCTGTGACTTTTCTGTGAGGGCTCTGCGTTGTCTACGGTGCATTCGCAAGTGTGTGCCACGTTAGCTGTTTTAATTAACAGAATGAATGTAAAACACGCGTTACAGAAGTTGGGTCGCGTTCTCTTGCTGTGTGCGCAGCTGTGCAATGAAGAAGTCAGACTTGATCGAACCCACAATGACACACATCAGTACACGCTCAAGGTGAACTGCATTTGTGTGCAGCACTTCTATACATCGGAGTCGTGTCACCATAGCCTGGAGTATCTCCGTAGCCCTCCGTATCTAGTCCACTACGCACAATCATGCGTTTTCTGGGGAAACTGAATAGAGTTTCAGCAAGCGGTGTGCCCCTTTTTCTGATCATGTCTGATGGTGTCTCAGAAGTAGGGAGTCTAGATCTGCACAGCTGATAGTGCCGCGTTGACCATGCGTGATGACGGGGACGCTACGCTTCCCCTCGCTGTGTCAGCACAATACACATCGTTCGGACTCGTGCATGCATCATGATTAAACGTGCCAAAAATGTATAACTCGAACGATGACATATCGAGCAAGGGCCCGAGGATTCTCGGCATGTTGTGCGTGTCCACGAAGAGAGCTGAGGCTGTTCAAGGTCAACAGCAGGGATGCGGCCACCGTGGGCCGCATACCATTGCATAGCCAGCCTTGCAGATGCTATTGAGAGGCCGCTAAACCTCGACTGGCACAACGTGATCTACATGTACTGTCAACTTCATTGACCCTGCAACAGGCCAACACACAATGCATCCAAAGTGTGTGAGCCGCCCCGCAGCAGCGGCGGTTTACCGGGTGTGGTCCCGTTTGCAGATACGCGTGGTTCCCGCCTTCGTTTAATCTTGATATATGCACAAGTATGAACAATATGAATTGCGCTGACAGAGAGAAGGAAAGCACCATAGCGTCCCCGTTGTCACGCGTTGTCGACACGGCACGATCAGCTGTGCATACTCCCTACTTCTGAGACACGATTGAGCATGATCTGTTGGAGGAAACGCACCACCTGCTGGGACTCTATTCAGTTTCCCCAGGAAACGCGTCGTTGTGCATTGTCAACTAGGTTCGCACAGCTACAGAAATATTCCGTGCTATAATGACACGACTCTGATGTATTGAAGCACAGGGCGAAAATTCAGTTCCCCTACAGCGTGTACTCATATGCGTCATTGTGCCTTTGATCGAGTCCGACCTCTTTGAGTCCGACAATCGAGTCTGACAGCTACAAGGGCAACCTTATCTGCCAAATCTAGGGGCAGTCTGGCAACACTGACCCCCAATCTGGCAACAACCTATGCAACACCCAAGAGAACCTTAACCTTGTCCAGAGCACAGTGATCGCTCATCCTCTGTGATTTTCCCTCACAGCTTGGGTCGTGTGCCACGACCCTTTCTCCTACGAATCTTGTACGTCAACATGGCATGTCTGCGCATCATCTGGGGTCCGTGCGCCTCATCCCGGCATGCGCCCTTTTACTGAGGTTTTTCACACTCTGTGTACTCATAGCCACTGCAGCGTGGTGTGCCCACATGAGGACGTTTGCATACTAGGGCTTTGTACCCTTGAGCGATGAATTCACCTTGTCTGGCTCATGTTTGGTGCAGAATGATGGTAATGTAGTAGAATGTAGCAGTGTTTGGTGCAATTGGCACACCTATTGCATCGCTGCCCTCGATTGTTTGGGCAAGCGAAACGATGCTCATGAAGTGGCGATAGAGAGAACACAAACAAATGCAAATTACTGTGTAATTTATTTTCATAGTGTTGCTTTAAACATGTTCAACATTAAGGCTAAGTGCTCACATGAATGCATGTCAGTGCTTGTGTCTGGCATATTACTGATTGATAAATGGATTTCGTTCACTGTTAGAGTTCTATGAACTTCATTTACAAAATCACCGGCCACAAATGTATAGTAGCACCTGACTGGTGATAACAAGTCCAGAAGTGGCTTCACTGGGTTTTGCCTCGCAGTGTGGCATGATGTCCTTCCATTCTAGCGCTCACCCACTAAGTTGAACACAGCTTCATTCGACAGTTTTACAGACCCTCTCAGCTTGAACTAATGAAGCATGAATGTTCATCTGAGATTTCAAAACCTCACATCACCACTTGTATGACGTAGACAAAGGCCCTGTGTAACATTTTTAAAAAACAGTGAGTACAATTAAACCCACTTATAACAATACTGAAGTGTCACAAAAATTTCATTGTTATAACTGATTGCTATATATGGATAACAGAAATAAATCACAGCATATCCTCGGAGCGAATGATGATGAGTGGGGAAGAGCGCTGGAGTGTTATATATACAAACATTGTATATATTTATACAAGAAATTCTACAATGCCAAAGTGGTAGATATACGTGGCTTTCGTTCTCCTTTCATTAAAACAGCTTTATAGTCGGTGAAGGAGTGGATCGGTGATGAGGCATAGTGGAATGTTTGCAAGGACAAAGTAGTGGGCAGTTTGCAAAGGTTGAACCATAAGTGGTCACGTACAAACAAGGAATGGACACTGTGAGACAAATTTTGGATCTTTAACGCACACCTGGATACAAGTACACAACCATCTTGCATTTCATACTGGCTACTTCTCAACAGCACTTGTCTCATGGTCAGTGAAGTGATGGATCGGTCATGGGGCGTAGTGGGATGTTTGCAAGGACGAAGTAGTGGGCAGCTGGCAAAGGTGGAACTATATGCGATTACTCACTCACTCACTCACTCACTCCCTCTCTCTCTTTCGCGCTCTCTCTCTCTCTCTCTCTCTCTCTCACACACACACACACACACACACACACACACACACACACACACACACACACACACACACACACACACACACACACGCAATGTTGATTCCCCCATTGTTGATGATGCTGAACTAATTCTAGCAGTATCATATCCATCACTGCAATTCTGTGACAACATGGGTGAGGAGCAGTATCAGGATGCATTTTGCGCTAAAATTCTGAATATGCTTAGGGGTGCACTGGGCATTAAAAAGCAACAGAAACGGGTGCAAAAGAAGTTTATCATGCATAACGACGTGTTGTACAAAAGAGACCAAGGCCCAGTGAGCAGTCGATTTCTTCTCTGCCTTCCTGCACAACCACAAGCTGAGGCACTCCGCGAAATGCACGAAGGCACAAAGGACGATACGGTGGCCACATGGGCATCAGTCGAACATTCGATGCCCTTAGGTTTAAGTATTACTGGCCAAAGCTCTAAGCAGATGTCAGACCGTACATGCGTCACTGTGACCTTTGTCAGAGGATGAAGATGTCAACATCGGTGCCTTACGGTCTAGTACAGCCAATAGAAGTCCACAGCCCATTTCACACAGTTGGGACGGACATAATAGGGCCATTTAAAACTTCAAGAGGTTACAAGTACAACATTGTAACCATTGATTACCTCACAAAGTTCGTGGAGGCAAAACCACTCCGGAACATAGAGGCCGCAACTGTCCAGAAGTTTGTCGAACGACGGATCCTCTTGAAGCATATATGCCCAGCCACAATTATCACAGACCGTGGTACTCAAATGATGGGGTGCTCTACTGAAGCATACTTCAAACATCAAGGCACCAGACAAACTGCCACTACCGCATATCATCCTGCAGCAAATGGCTTGTGCGAAAGAGCTGATAAGAAAATCAAACAGATGATTGATATCACTATTGCCAGGGGAGAAAAATGGGCCAATGTCCTTTCTTATATTGTATTCTGTTACAACACCACAATTTAAAAGTTCTTGGAAATGTGGTTCTTCCTCAGAAGGTTGCATTAGTGCTCAAGAATGGACCAAAGTTCAGCGTTGTTCCTAAGGTATCAGCCCACGAATCGCTTGCCCTGAACCCAGGCATTTCCCACAGTGCTGACGAGGAAAATCGCGAGCGCTGCCTGCTTGAGGGTGCGGACTCGCTTTTGCGGAATCGTAGAAATCACCATCCCAAGTTGACCACAAGTGGCGTTGTCTCGTACTTCAAGGAGCATGAACTTTCCCCTCTTCAGGCATACAAAGAAGGCGGATTTGTGGTGATGTATACTTTCAGTTTCCAGGACAAAGCCAGTTCTGCTATTATGAAGAATTTTGAGTCTACAACTGTAAAAGCGTCAAAGGTAAAACGTTGTGCTGTTGAATTGTGCAAGAGTTTTAATTTAGCCAATCTGGCTAAATAAGTTTTTGAATGCAAGAAAACTTCCTTGGAAGTGTTTTTTAATGTAAAAACGCACAAAGTTGACATGCCGTTTAGGTCAATTGTGACAGAAAATGGTACTTGGCAGCTGCAACTGAGTCGCTATCTGTTGAAAAATTTAAATACGTTAGCATTTGTAGATCCTTTTACAACAAAAAGCTCCTATGACGTCATAGATTTCTCGAAAAGCAGAAGTGACGTCAGTTATCTTTTTTTCAATTGACGTTGAGGATCTTTTTTATTCAGTGCCTCATAATGAACTTTTATCTTGTGTAAGGGACTGTATCGAGGAACATGGGGGCACAACTTTTATCAATACCTCTGGCGTATCTGTTTCCAATTTCATGTCACTTTTAGAATTTTACCTTCGTAGCACTTTTGTCTCATTTAATAATAGGTTGTCTATTCAACGAAAGGGCATTTGTATTGGCTCCTGCGTTGCACCTGTCCTTTGTAGCATTTTTTTGGCGTTTATTGATCGTGCTTTAGAAAATGCCGTTATCCAGGAAAAGTCCCCAAGATTTTTAGATATGTGGACGATTTCCTCATGGTGTTAACTTCTACTAACCCTGTAGCGCACTCTAGCGAGCTAGATTTGGTTTTGAACCTGTTCCGACAACATGAAAAAGGCTTGATTTTTACGTATGAACTGCCCATTGACGAAAGCTTGCAGTTTTTAGATATTACCCTGACTCTGGGCGAGGGTCATGTCTGTTGGAAGTTCAGCCTTAGAACGAGAAAAGGACTTCTTTCTTATGATTCTGCACATTCTAAGGTGGTGAAGAGGTCTATAACTGCTATGTGTTTTCGTTCTGCATTGTCCAAGTCATGCCAGCACACAGTGTTTGATAGTTTTTCCATTCAGGTATCGTGGCTCACTGCAGCCGGGTTTCCTGATTCGGTCTTAGTCAGTGTGTCTGGAACATTGCTGCAGAGGCTGAAGGGGGATCACAGGAGGCCAGAGCGATTGCAAGGACAGAGGAAAAAACCGCATGTTGTACCATACATGCACAAAATCTCCCACAACCTGAAAAAGGTTGCAAATCGGCACCATGTGCCAGTGGTTTTCTCTGCTCCAAATAAGCTTTCAAGGCTCTGTGCCCGCATTTCTTCAAGAGGTGCCAAGGTGGTGTGCGATAAGAAGCATGTAAAGCTGTTCCTGCGTTGTGCTGTGGGCACTGTTTATGAAATTCCCCTGAGCTGTGGCAAGGTCTATGTAGGTCAGACAGGGCACTGTACAAATGACCGTCTAAGGGAGCATGCCTTATCAATTAGGAATGGAACAGGGTCTCATTTGCCCTTTCACTGAGCTTCGTGTGGCTGCACGCCGCAATTCAATCGCATGCGAGTACTCGGAAGGAGCCGGGATGCGCTGGCGCGGGAGTTACTCGAAGCCTTTCACATAATGAAGAAAGGTGACTCGTGCGTCAGCATGCCTTCAGTTGTGGAGCATAACAGTGAATTCCAACTGTTGGATCTAGATGTACTTTAGTTGGGTGCTACGAAGTGTCTGTCAGTCCTTTTCTGCTGGTTTTTCCTCGCAATTTTTTTCGTGCAGGCTTGAGTGTGTTTGGTTTTTTCGAGGTCTTTACATTACGCATATCTGTTTGTTGCTGGTTCCCAGATATCATGATTGCAATTATCGGTTATTACATCATAAAAATGTTCATGCCTGCAGGTGCGGTGAATGAAATGGTCTGCACGTGTCCTCCAAGAGCCTATATATTGTGAATGCTTCAAGAAAATAAACTTAGTTGTGAGTTGGCGCTTTTTCTGTCTCATCTTTTTTCTCTTTGTCAACCTTGCGCCACATATTTCAGCCTAATATGTACCAACTAGACCAACATAACGCACTGTTGAGAATACGTTTCCTCGCTGAGGGAGGGGAAACCCATTCTGTGGGCCGGGAAAGGAGGATCGCAAGCGCCGGCCGCAAGGGTGTTCCATCCCTTTGTAAGAGGCTTTATTGACTCGTGTCTCAAAAGGACAGTCATGTCCCGGCAACTCGGCTGTCGCACTGCCGTAAAAGGTAAAGGGTGGCTGGGCGCACCTGCTCCCCCACAAAAAGCACCGCAGGTTTTGAATGAGCATAAAAACCACAAGGGAGGGAGGGGAAGATCGCTTGAGCAGCAGCTGTGAACTTTGATTCCAGGGTTGCTGGCGCACGTGCTACCTCGGCAAACATCAGTGCAATTACACCCTTTAACACCCTTTTACATGGTGCGCTCTCAATGAAAAAAGATAGTGTGAAAAGCACATTGCTCCTTGAAGGGGCCGTATTTACTATCTTACACAACTAGCGTTTTGTAGAGTTATGCGTTATCAGATGCAGAGAGTTATCTGTCAGCCTCACTTCATATTGTCAGTGGGTCGTGACGTTGACGAAGGCAGCAATCACCATTTTCATGTATTTGGACGAACCTGTGCCCAGAAAACAAAACGTCCCTCTACAAGCAATACACGCTGTAGACTGATAGCAGCAAACATAGAGCGTCAACTATAGATGAGCTGCAAGAACAGTAAAGCGTGTTGGCATGCCATCGAAGATTCCAGCGTAATCGCTAGCGGCCGCATAAGTTACAGGTGTCTAATGTACACCATGCGTGTGTAATCTTATCATAAGGTTCTAAGATTACCTAGGTGGTTTCCTGTAATTCGGGCTATTCAAATTTTGATACCATTCTAAGTTGTTACCACTTGACTTTGAACGAAAAAGTGAGATCTGTCGATGCCTAGTTCCAATCCTTCAAAATATTGAGCAAATTTGGCGAGTCATGACAAAAAAAAGTTAACTTTTATTATTATATGAACCCTTTCAGTGAATTTTTCCCATTGCCTCCATGTTTCGTATATGTATTTATATATAAGCCATAAAAAAAATAAAATTAGAAAAAAGTTCCCTATGTGAGCCCTTGGGACTCAAAACTGCGACTCCTCGCTTTGCAGCATGTCGTGTCAGACAGCTCTGCCACATGCTGCTCAATCAGTAGAATACTAATGGCGTGCATTTACCTCTGGCGGTATGCAGATCTCGGAGTGTTCAGACTTACACCCGCGAAATGGAGCGAAGGGCATGAAGGACTTTAAAGCAACGTTCCCAGATTTTGTTTCATCTGCTCTTGAGACACACATTTCTCCACCTATTCACAATGTGGAATGCTGGGAAAGCAAACACGCGGCAGGAGGCACAGAGGAGTCACCCCATGAGCCACAGTGTCAAGAAGAAGGGACTTGCACAACTGTAACTAGTAGCCCACCGATCAAACAGAAAAAGTTACAAATGTGACAGTTGTTAGCTCGCATTTGTCCTGTGTGTTAAAGCAGGGTGCTGCAAGTGCTGAGCTGTGTGGGGAAGCACACGCGCCCATGCATTTTTTGCCTTGTCTAGCTGCGGGGACACGGTTCCCTCGAGAAAGAGGCTTGATTGTCTCCATCTCAAAAGGTGTCCTTGCACGTCAGTAAGGGTGCGTGTGCTTCTCCACATAATTCTGATGACTTGAGCTCTGAGAAGGGGACAATTGTGCTCAGTACGACTGTGTGCCATTGGAACATTAGCTAGGCTTCTGCAGTAACCATGCATTGGGCGGACAGCTTTAGCTGTGACAGTTGTTAGTTTGAACTCATCTTGTTTGTGTTCTTTTCATACATTCTTTGAGCTTGAGCAGTGGCACTGCAAGTATCCAATTGCTTCCCGTTCATTATAAGACATTCTAATTTGTTGCTATCACATTCATTGCTTCATCCTTGCGGCGAAACTGACTATTTTTTTTTTCATATATTATGCAATATATTGTTCAAGCTATTTAATTTGCAATTATCCGACCAGATTTACATTTACATTGAATTTGCTTTAAACCTAACGCAATTTACTATTCACCCATAATATGATTTTGAAATTCCAGCAACAGACATATGACGAAGCACTGGCCCTGGGCCATGATTTACCTCAGCATGGTAAATATTTTTAGTGAGCTCGTTTTCTGTTTTGTTTCATAAGAGAAAGTGACACCTGAAAAATGAGTCAGTGCATTATCACTTTGCATATAAAACAACATGACGCAAAGAACATTCTTGATATGTTGAAAATGCTGCAGCTCAAATTGAATGCAATGGCACGTACCCTCTCGGCTTTTCTTTGTGCACACATGCACTGAGAAATGGGCTGTAAGCCAGGCTCACCTGTGGATCGGTTGATGGCAAAGAGCTGTGCATCGTTGCCAGTAACTATAGCGTATGACAACTGGTCTGACACATCAGGATCTATTGCCAGCAGCCTTGCGACGAATTGACCCCTACGAGACCGCTGGTCCACCACAGCAGTGTAAGCCGGCTGTGCAAAGGCAGGTGAGTTGTCATTCATGTCGATCACGGTGACCCAGATACGTGCTGTGCCACTCAGTGACGCAGGGTGGCCCAAGTCTGATGCCACCACCTGCAGCCGATGCAGCGGCTGTGCCTCTCGATCTAGGGGCGCACGCAGTCGCAGCACACCTTGGGCATCCAGGAGGAAGGTGTTGTCGTCGATAGCCAGCCGGAGCTCTAACTGGGGCCCATCCTGGTCGCTGGCATGCACCTCCAGCAGGGGACTGGCCACAGGCATGGCTTCAGACACGCTCACATTGTACCAGCTCTGCTCAAACAGGGGTGCACAGTCGTTGACATCTTGCACGTGCACGGTGACCAGCACCTCCGAGTGGGCACCACTCACGGAGTCAGTAGCCTGCACCTGCAGCTCGTGCCGTGGTTGATTCTCGTAATCCAGCGACTCCACAAGGGACAGCACACCTGGGTCATGCCAATATGAGCACTTCATTACATGTTGATGTCCATGAGAATCATTATTGCTCCTGGCTATAGTGAACAAGAATGCTTTCCAGTGGATCGACAGGTGGTGGCTCAGAGCAGTCAAGGTGAAGCGAGATGACACTGATGACCAGTGAGGGCACTACCCTGCATTTTCCTTAGTCTCCGATACACTGTTGGGCACAGTTTGCTAAACATAGCTGTGACCACAGTTTGCTACACATAGCTGTGAAGGTTGTGGTTTTGCTTGTTTTAAGGGCGATGCTACTCAGATAACCTCACTTTACTCTGCGTATGCTGGCGTTAAGTTGTCATTACAATATGAGGGAATCTATATTCCATTAGCAACCAAGAGTTTAGCGATGGCAAGGCAAAAAAAACAGATTCTCAGTGTTTGGGGCCAGGCTGGTCTGAAGAAGAGCCTTCCCTGAAGCAAGGCCCTATCACATGAAGCTCATCAGCCCTAGCTACTTGGCTCACACTATCCTTGCTGGGCACCACTTGCTGCATACCATATGTATGCTTTTGTGTGCTTTGTGCCCGATTTCCCTTGGACCATGCATGAATGTTGCAAGGTAAGTAGCCTGTGCATTCAACGTGGCAAAGATAGGCAATTTGTAATATATTTGCACTCTATGTCTCCACACTGCTCTGGCAGTCCCACACGACAAGCGCATAGTGAGTAGGCAAAAAGCGCATAGTGAGTAGGCAAATACTCACTATGCGTTCGCTGCCAGTACACCGATAGTTCCAGGTGCCCACACTGCTCCATACAAGCGAGGTGGTTTGTTTCTACAAAGTGATGCACACTTTGCTGTGTTCTCGCATGACATGGCAGTCACAGGAGTGCAACAGCCAAACTAAAATTTAGAGCATTTTTTGGAGCAGCAAAATGTTACTTTTAGGGCACTAAAATCCAAATTTATAGCAGGCTATGGGAAAAAAAAACATGCATTTTTTATAATGAAATATCAAATTTAGAGCAGTATAAAAAGGAAGCTTACATTTAGAAAAAAAAATATGTATAAACCATTCAACATCACTTAAGTTGTACAGTGTGAACGTGAGCACTGCTATTTCAATGAAAATAGTATTTCGAAGCACCCCATTAAATAAACAATGATAAAGTCCATATTAGCATTTCCTGCACCTTTCACATCATTGGACAGATTATGGGAATTTAAATATGAATCTTCCAAGCTCACGACCTTGAAATTTGGAAGATTTGCAAAATCGAGAAATAGGGGTGGTGAAAAAAAAAAAAAAACTGGCGCACAGTTAGACTTTGGGGGGGGGGGGGGGGGGGGGCAGAAATGTGATACACTGCTCCGAATTCCTGGCAGTAGCTTATTTATACCTATCTGACTACACTGGAACTCAAAACTATGCGGTGTACAAACACATGAGAAACTGAACAAAATAAAATGTGAAGTGTCTGGTCATTAGCACTAACAGCCCCTTGCAAATCTCAATATGCTTTTCCATAAGACACCGGTATACTATAGTGAAGGTGGCTTAAGGAGCATTCTCTGCACGAGTTTGAACTAAAGACAAGAAATTTTCTAACGGCTACACCTCCTGGCCCCGCGACGGTACCGGATATCTATCACGAGGACAGTGACCGGGACGACACAACTTTAAGACAAATAAAATTTTTTATAAGCCACTGCTAAGGCAACCAACGTTGTCGCAACGCCAGCGTTCCCAGCAAGTCAAGCTTGTTTGTGGGAAGTTTACATTTGTGGGAAATTTACATTTCCCACAAAGCGTTGGTGGCTACAGCAACGCATTTTTGTCTTGAAGCTCCGTCATCCCGCCGATAGATATCTGCTGCGATCAGCGGACCGATGGGTGCGCAGCCTCATTACTTTATTTGGTTCATCGCGTCTCGCGAGCGTAGGGCAGGTGCCCAGAATAATTTAAGTATATTGACTGATAGCGCCAACTGCAGGTGGCCGACGTGGCCTGCATTTCTCGCCAAAATTAGTGCACCCGAGAACATTTTAAGGCTGGCGCATTTTGGCACAGTGTGGCACACTTTAAGTAACTTTCCCGGTTATGGCACAGCCCGGCTAAACGATCGGGAATTGTATCAAATCGACGCATTTGGCGCAGCTGTTGCTCCCCTGCAGTGGTGAACTTTAGAATGGGCAGCATGCTGTGTTCGTAACGTTGTTAATCGGCACAGTTTACATCACACACGCAGCCAAGCAGATACACTCAAACCTCGATATACCATAAAGGAATATGAAAAGATAATGAATATAACGAAGCCTGTCGAGCTTCGATCACGTATTTTACCATCTACAATGCCAAAAGATGCTTTGCAGCAAACGCTTCTCCCCCTTGCCGCCCACTTGTCTTGGTGTTCCATGCGTCCACCATCCACACATTTTATGGCACAAATGGCACCAACATGGAGGACTGACTCGCACTTTATGAGTGGGTGAACGTACTCAACAAATGATATGACAACGGCAAGTTGACAAACTTGGTATTCTACTTTGCAGAATGAGCAAGTTTGTGGTACAACAACCACACGTCCAACTTTGAGAATCGGCCGAATTTCGAGACCACCAACATCAACGTTTTTCGTCGCCCTGCCCTTTGTAAAGGTGGATTCAATCGAGAAAATGGAGGAGGAATTTCCGCAGCCAATGGCGCATTGCGTGACGTGTGCGTGACGTGCGCGTAATCGAAATGTGTCGTCCTCGCTACAACCACTCTCCTCCACTCGAGGCACGGGTGGAAAGCTGTTCCCGCTATTTCGATCTCTCCGTTTGCTAGTCGTCTGCTCTTGATCGAGAGAATTCAGCGTCAAACCTGTCAACATTGGTCAGATTGGCGTGGCTAGGAAGCAGGCAGCCGGCTTAAAATCTACGTGTTTTATACTCAACGACAACTTTTCTTGGCACTGTATGGAAAGCTACGAAGGTGGAGCTTTTGCACATGTGGCACTACGCGAATTAGTCCGTTTGGGCACGCGTCTCCTAACGCTGTGGAAAGTGACGAGCGCACCATTGGCGTTTCATGTAAGGTCCCTAGATTTCTTTCATTTACTGATCTTAGTTTCATGTAGACGCAGACCTAAAAAGGCGGGACTTTCTCACACGTTCAAAAACGTGAAATCACAACAGATAAAATAAATACGAATCTCTTGCTGGTGTCAGCTGCATCCTGTCTAAAATACTTCCACGTAGAAAACAAAGGCGCAACAAGCGCGCTGCATAAGCATAGGAGTCGAGAGTATATATGCACGAGGATTCTGTGAATGTAGGCCCGGTTGTGTGCAAGCAAGTGTCCGCTGCTGCTCTGGATTAAACTAATCATGTGACCATTCGGTCTGCGGAGCAGCGAGAATTCACCCTCGCGTGTGAATCTAGCTTAAGCTGAAAGCCGAACAGTGCCTTTGTGAACCTGTTCAGCAGGCTGGTGAGTCCTTCAGCAGTTACATTGAAGAAGTCCTCCCCTTATGTAACAAAGCCAATGGCACCATGTCGAAGTCTGACAAAATCCGGCACGCCATGAAAAACACTGACGTCGATGCCTTCACCATGCTGCTCGCCAAGAACTCTGGCACAGTGGCCGAGATTATGGCGCTGTGCCAGAGCTATAATAAGGAGCTCCGTCGGTAGCGTTCAATGACTTGTCGCCCTTGTAGGGAGGTCTGGCTTATGTACGGCTGACGCAGAAGCCTATAGGTAATGTTCCAGTCGCACACAGTCGTATTGTGCACGATTAACACCCCCTATCCGTAGCTTGTCTCATTGCAGCTACACAGGTTCGGGCGAATAAGGCAACAGGCTAGGTCAACAACATACTTTATTGCTATATGTTAGCAACAACGTGTAAATGTTGGGAGGAGATACTACAGAAAACAAGGGTGGACGCTTACTCCTTGGTCCTTGTCGTCCTCGGCTCGCAGGGGGTTGCAGGTTCGACCTCCTTCTTCCTAGGCCGGTGTCAGAGAGAGCGTCCGGTCGTCAGCAGGCTGGTTTTCTTTACCGTCCTGTTTTCCCTCTCCCTGACGAGAATACGTTTCCTCGCTGAGGGAAAGGAAACCCGTTTCATGAGCCCAAAAAGGGGGATCGCACGCAAAGGCCGATTGGGTGTTCCATCCCTTCACAAGAGGCTTTATGGAAACTCGAAGGAACAGTCATGTCCCCGCAACTATGCTGTCGCGCTGCAGTAAACAGGAAAGGGAGGCTGGCCGCACGAGCTCCCCTACATCCTCACCCCCTTAAGAAGGCCCCCAAACGACAGAGACTCATACATGAGAATATTTCAGTATTCATCACCAAGGAAGGCAAGGACGGTGGGTCCCAATCCGTGCCCTCCTGTGGTTGGCCCTCTGCTGTAGGCGCCCCTGGTGCCCCCACTTGTCTCCGCTGCATCCAAAGTAGCCACCACCACTGATGCTGTTGCCCACTTGCAACATAGCCAGTCATCGCCACCGCTGTCACCTCCGCCACCGTTATTGCCACTGCTGTCACTTTCGCCGCCCTTACTGTTGCCGTGGATTTGGTACCTGTAGAACTCTGGTCCGTACCGCGCATCGTTGACCCCTGCCACTTAAGTTGTTGGTGGGGACTGGGGGTAGCCAGTCTGTGACAGGTCTTGTCCAGCTCTGGCTTTCCCGTTCCGGCAGGCTGGAGAGTCGTCTTCAGCGGGCCGCGCCATGGCCTCGAGGTAGCAGAAACCATAAGGGTGCCCGGATAACCATGGCTCGACTAGGTACGCTCCTTGTGACAGTGGCTCCGACGCAGCTTGCACTTCCGGCTGGGCTGGCTGGCAGTTGGTCACCCAGGCGCCTCTTGCGTAAAGGCCCGGTGATGAGGGAAATTGGGTAGGCTGGAAGTGGCGCTGCTTTGTTGGGTGGGGCCGCGATGCCGACATAGATGGTACTGGGAGTGACCCGTCAGGAGGAGCGCTTTCCTCTCCGAGCTGTTCCAGCAGCACCTCTTTCCCTTTCGACTCTTCAT